GCAAAGAGATGGGCTGCTTTGGAAAAACAACTTTTTTTTCAGTACTGTTGTTTTTACCTTCCTTCTTATATATATATGACCAGATTATGAAAAAGTTATTGTTAGATTTGTATTTACACCTTGTACTCACAAATATCACACAGATCTTCCATCTCTTTACCTACCTCATGTTCATTCAATTACACAATGATATTCTGATTTTATATAACTGTGATAACATTGACATACAAGACATCACTAAACCGTATACATTCAGCCTTGGCATACTAGACACAAAGCAATATATATCACCTGGTCATCAGTCACCTGGTCAGCTGTGATATACTCACAGCTAAGTAATGTTTTAGTCAGTAACAGACATGTCACACCTGGTCATAAGTCTGTGTGAGAGTTTTACTAATATATTATAATACAGATCTTGATATACTCACAGGTAAGTAATGTTTTAGTCAGTAACAGACATGTCACACCTGGTCATAAGTCTGTGTGAGAGTTCTACTAGTATATAGTAGATACATATCTTGATATACTCACAGGTAAGTAATGTTTTAGTCAGTAACAGACATGTCACACCTGGTCATTAGTCTGTGTGAGAGTTCTACTAGTATATAGTAGATACATATCTTGATATACTCACAGGTAAGTAATGTTTTAGTCAGTAACAGACATGTCACACCTGGTCATAAGTCTGGTATGGATAAGTCTAGTATGTAATAATACAGATCTTGATATACTCACAGGAAGGTGATGTTTGAGTGAGTAACAGATGATGATAGATCATGCACTACTTTATAACAATTAGTAGGTAGTGAATGACATGGTGAGGCAACATCCTTGCAAATCAGTACGATGTTATGGCTTAATAACAAAATGAAGGGACTCCAGTCGCCTTAGACAAACCTAGGTAACTAAGTTGGATGTTCAGAAACCCAGGTAACTTAGTTTGTTGTTTGGAAACGAAGTAACTTAATTAGTTTGTTGCTTAGAAACCTAGGTAACTTAGTCTGATGTTCAGAAACATAGGTAACTTAGTTTGTTGTTTAGAAACCTAAGTAACTAAGTCTGTTGTTCAGAAACCTAGGTAACTTGGTCTGTTGTTTAGAAACCTAGGTAACTCAGTTTGTTGTTTAGAAACCTAGGTAACATAGTCTGTTGCTTAGAAACCTACATAACTTGGTCTGTTGTTTAGAAACCAAGGTCGCTTAAACTGTTGTTTACAAGCCTAGGTTATAACCAGCTGGTTGTAGAATATGATAAGAGAAGATATGAAACATTGAATACCTCAATGGGAAGAGTTACTTTCACTGACAACTAGGGAGCACCTTCAACTAGCAACACCTACACAAGGGCTGGTAAATGTAGGTCAAGGTCATTTTCAATCTAATTAAAATTAGATCTCTCATTACACTACGTTATGGAGTGTAATGAGAGATCTGATTTTAATTAGATTGGGTCATTTTCAGTACCGTATGACAGATAGTAAGGTGAAAGACAAATACACTTACAAGTCTCTGTCTGTAACAGTATAGATGATGGATCATAGATATGTACAAAACATTGTTTAATTCTGTGTTACTCCCGCTGCTGAAACGATTATAAAATTTTACATTGATGTATCTAACATTCTGGCAAAAAATTTAGAGAAAATGAGCCTGTTTTGCTGTATTCATCGCTGAGGGCATCACAACAAAATGTCAGAAACGGAAATAACAGATTAGGTAATCACGGTGGATGTAAATCCCCACTGTCTCCAGTTAACCGAGTGTTCTATAAATAACAGCTAGTCTATGTCCATCGCACGAGCATCTGGATTAAAGCGTACAATTTCATGACAAACTTATTCCACAGCAATTCAATAACCACTGCAGTTTTGTGAGGTATATCTTCATAGCTGTATACGATGTCGGAAGAAATCTAAACACGACCCCAACCGTGGGCAGTAGTTTAGGTACATGGACTTATTTTTACATAATATTTAAATCATACAAATCCCCCAATATGCCTGTTGACCCTACCCATTGGTTGTAATTATTTGTCAAGAACATTAGATTTCATCAAAGTAAGTTGAAAGTGTTGAATTCTAGAATTGCCGCAGAGTGGTAAATAGTTATAAAGTACATCAGCATGTCCCGAACAACCCAGTATGCCGTGTGTATTTATATCAAAAGCATGTCTGATTTGATTGGTTTTAGTCTGGTCATATTTAACTGCCACAAACATCATGAACTTTCCCTCGATTTGATTCTTGTTTATTATATACCTGATTTGTCAAAGATAGTGGGCAGTGCACTGTATTTAGGTCACTATGACCTCTACTTCTAGGTGAAAGGTCAAATGAGTAGAAAACCTTCAGTGAAATTGCCGAAACCTATAACCTGTTAAAAGATATCTTGATGGAACATTAAGTGTACCTGCATCAACCACAGACAGAAAATAAATTTCATCATTTTTATATTGTGATAATTTCCTTCAGAAAATATTTTATTGAAAAAAATATGTAGAGGTCACAATTGTTGCCATGGGCTATTAGGCTTATACCTCTGTCTACTCTGTACCCAAGAATTTAACACATAGGATAACCCATACTGCAAAGGGAGCCCAAATATGTCGATTGTTATGATCATGGACACAGTAGGTCTACTATTTTTCCATGTTTCCAAACCTGCAGTGGAGCCAGTAATTAAGTTATGACATGTCACCGTTGACCTTTAACAGTGACCTCGGGGTAAAGTATACGACAAACAATCCTGATCCTGATCATGTCTATTGTCTTGAATATGATACTACAGTATCGCCGTGCAGGTTACAATACTATGTCTATTGTCTATATTCTAATGTCACAATGGTTCTTGAGTATGATACTACAGTATCGCCGTGGAGGGTACAATACTATGTCTATTGTCTTTCTTCTGATGTCACAATGGTTCTTGAATATGATCCTACAGTAGCGCCCGGCAGGTCACAATACTATGTCTATTGTCTTTATTCTAATGTCACAATGGTTCTTGTAAATGATACTACAGTAGTGCCCTGCAGGTTACAATCCTATGTCTATTGTCTTTCTTCTGATGTCACAATGTTTCTTGAATATGATACTTCAGTATCGCCGTGCAGGTTATAATACTATGTCTATTGTGTTTATTCTGATGTCACAATGGTTCTTGAATATGATACTACAGTAGCGCCCGGCAGGTTACAATACTATGTCTATTGTCTTTATTCTAATGTCACAATGGTTCTTGAATATGATACTACAGTATCGCCGTGCAGGTTACAATACTATGTCTATTGTCTTTATTCTGATGTCACAATAGTAGATACCATACTACATGAGGCTGGTTGGTTGGTTGGTTGTGCAGGGTTTAACATCCTATCAACAGCTCAGGTCATTTAAAGACCTGCCTCAGGGTATCTTGGTTTATTTGCCTCCTTGTGAAAGCACAGATCTGATGCCGATAGTGATATTTCACTTAAATACCATGCTGGCCTCACTCAGCACAGCATTCCGCCCAGTCACAGTATACTGACAACGGGTGAACCAGTTGTTACCAGTATCCTAAATACTGAATGTTAAGCAGGGAATAACAACTACCCTTTTTAAGGACTTTGGTATGTCCCGGCCAGGGGACTCAACTCATTGCCTTCCTCACCCGGGTAAACATTCAACATTAAAGCTGAAAGTGAGGTGTTGCCAAGCAAGCTGCTAGGAAATTAAAGGTAGTTAGAAGGTGCTAGGAAACCAAAGGTAGTTAGAAGTAGAGAGAAATAGAAAGATCCAATATTGCAATTGGTGCAGCAGATTTACTATGGTTGCTTTTGTGTCCCCAAGTAGAAGGCACAAAAGCAAATCCCCAATTCTGCATTGAGTTCCCACATAAGTTGCCTCTTATGATATATGTAGTGGGTAACAGCAGGTGATTTTTTTTTCTTGATCTCTGACCTGCAGGGATGATTACATGAGGTAAATTATTACACGGTGGTATATTTACTGCTAAGCGTTGTAGCAGTGATGTATATAACAAATCACTGGTAATCTTTACAAACACAGGTATACCAAACTAGAACTTGCAATAGGACAGTCGACACTCAATTTTTACAAACAAACACAGGTATACCAAACTAGAATTTACGACACTCAATCTTTACAAACACAGGTAAACCAAACTAGAACTTACCACACTCAATCTTTAGCGTTGTAGCAGTGATGTATATAACAAATCACTGGTAATCTTTACAAACACAGGTATACCAAACGAGAATTTACGACACTCAATCTTTACAAACACAGGTACACCAAACTAGAACTTACGACACTCAATCTTTACAAACACAGGTAAACCAAACTAGAACTTACCACACTCAATCTTTATAAACACAGGTATACCAAACTAGAATTTACGACACTCAATCTTTACAGACACAGGTATACCAAACTAGAATTTACGACACTCATTCTTTACAAACACAGGTATACCAAACTAGAACTTGCAATAGGACAGTCGACAATCAATTTTTACAAACAAACACAGGTATACCAAACTAGAATTTATGACACTCAATCTTTACAAACACAGGTATAACAAACTAGAAATTACCACACTCAATCTTTATAAACACAGGTATACCAAACTAGAATTTATGACACTCAATCTTTACAAACACAGGTAAACCAAACTAGAACTTACCACACTCAATCTTTACAAACACAGGTATAACAAACTAGAAATTACCACACTCAATCTTTATAAACACAGGTATGCCAAACTAGAACTTACCACACTCAATCTTTACAAACACAGGTATGCCAAACTAGAACTTACCACACTCAATCTTTACAAACACAGGTATGCCAAACTAGAACTTACCACACTCAATCTTTATAAAGACAGGTATACCAAACTAGAACTTACCACACTCAATCTTTACAAACACAGGTATAACAAACTAGAAATTACCACACTCAATCTTTATAAACACAGGTATACCAAACTAGAACTTACAGTAGGACAGTCGACAGCGATTGGTTTTGAGCTTTCTCCACTCGACGTACTACACACATGACACACTGTTTCACATCCAACTTCTGGACAAAATGTTCGGTTCGGGTCTAGATCTACATCTGAAATAGAAATCATTCTTATAACGGCACTTTGTAAACAGCACATACAGTGTTAACTCGGAGATACCTGTGTTCTTAACTGTCATGAATATTGTGTAAAAAAATCTGTGTTTTAAAAGAAATATTTCTTGACCTGAAACAATTTCATTTCAGTGTATTGTATTTCATAATTATATAATGTCACAGAATGTGATAATCTACTTTTCCTTTCCATTCCAGAATGCAATATTCCATTCCTGTTTGTGATTTAGTGATGACTGTAACTGACGTCAATGGTTTCAACGATATTTCCTTATTTCCATGAGAAATAAATGCTTGATAAATAAATATCAATCAAAGCTTTCAGAACTTACCAATATACATTTTAACATTAATTGCTTTTCAGTAAAAATCTTAAAATTCAATGGTTTGATATATATACACCTAACACTCATTACACTATCCTAAGAGACTGCATGACCAATTTAACAACTGACCAGAATTAATCCATATCTATCACCATTTTTGGTATACATAGGAACCTACAATTTCTGATGACAATGAAGCACCAATCAATATGGCTGCCATACCTCTTTGATGTCGTAATCTTTTATAGCGATCAAACAGTTTGGCTTCCACTAAATTTGCAATCTGGAAAAAAGTGTAAACACAGATAAATTGACAGTGATAGGTGGTTTGTGTATTTAGCATGTAGACTAATGTTTTATGGCCTCACTCTCAGTATTTAGCATGTATACTAATGTGGGAGGTTTTTATGGCCTCACTCTCAGTATTTAGCATGTATACTAATGTGTGAGGTTTTTATGGCCTCACTCTCAGTATTTAGCATGTATACTAATGTGGGAGGTTTTTATGGCCTCACTCTCAGTATTTAGCATGTATACTAATGTGGGAGGTTTTTATGGCCTCACTCTCAGTATTTAGCATGTATACTAATGTGGGAGGTTTTTATGGCCTCACTCTCAGTATTTAGCATGTATACTAATGTGGGAGGTTTTTATGGCCTCACTCTCAGTATTTAGCATGTATACTAATGTGGGAGGTTTTTATGGCCTCACTCTCAGTATTTAGCATGTATACTAATGTGGGAGGTTTTTATGGCCTCACTCTCAGTATTTAGCATGTATACTAATGTGGGAGGTTTTTATGGCCTCACTCTCAGTATTTAGCATGTATACTAATGTGGGAGGTTTTTATGGCCTCACTCTCAGTATTTAGCATGTATACTAATGTGGGAGGTTTTTATGGCCTCACTCTCAGTATTTAGCATGTATACTAATGTGGGAGGTTTTTATGGCCTCACTCTCAGTATTTAGCATGTATACTAATGTGGGAGGTTTTTATGGCCTCACTCTCAGTATTTAGCATGTATACTAATGTGGGAGGTTTTTATGGCCTCACTCTCAGTATTTAGCATGTATACTAATGTGGGAGGTTTTTATGGCCTCACTCTCAGTATTTAGCATGTATACTAATGTGGGAGGTTTTTATGGCCTCACTCTCAGTATTTAGCATGTATACTAATGTGGGAGGTTTTTATGGCCTCACTCTCAGTATTTAGCATGTATACTAATGTGGGAGGTTTTTATGGCCTCACTCTCAGTATTTAGCATGTATACTAATGTGGGAGGTTTTTATGGCCTCACTCTCAGTATTTAGCATGTATACTAATGTGGGAGGTTTTTATGGCCTCACTCTCAGTATTTAGCATGTATACTAATGTGGGAGGTTTTTATGGCCTCACTCTCAGTATTTAGCATGTATACTAATGTGGGAGGTTTTTATGGCCTCACTCTCAGTATTTAGCATGTATACTAATGTGGGAGGTTTTTATGGCCTCACTCTCAGTATTTAGCATGTATACTAATGTGGGAGGTTTTTATGGCCTCACTCTCAGTATTTAGCATGTATACTAATGTGGGAGGTTTTTATGGCCTCACTCTCAGTATTTAGCATGTATACTAATGTGGGAGGTTTTTATGGCCTCACTCTCAGTATTTAGCATGTATACTAATGTGGGAGGTTTTTATGGCCTCACTCTCAGTATTTAGCATGTATACTAATGTGGGAGGTTTTTATGGCCTCACTCTCAGTATTTAGCATGTATACTAATGTGGGAGGTTTTTATGGCCTCACTCTCAGTATTTAGCATGTATACTAATGTGGGAGGTTTTTATGGCCTCACTCTCAGTATTTAGCATGTATACTAATGTGGGAGGTTTTTATGGCCTCACTCTCAGTATTTAGCATGTATACTAATGTGGGAGGTTTTTATGGCCTCACTCTCAGTATTTAGCATGTATACTAATGTGGGAGGTTTTTATGGCCTCACTCTCAGTATTTAGCATGTATACTAATGTGGGAGGTTTTTATGGCCTCACTCTCAGTATTTAGCATGTATACTAATGTGGGAGGTTTTTATGGCCTCACTCTCAGTATTTAGCATGTATACTAATGTGGGAGGTTTTTATGGCCTCACTCTCAGTATTTAGCATGTATACTAATGTGGGAGGTTTTTATGGCCTCACTCTCAGTATTTAGCATGTATACTAATGTGGGAGGTTTTTATGGCCTCACTCTCAGTATTTAGCATGTATACTAATGTGGGAGGTTTTTATGGCCTCACTCTCAGTATTTAGCATGTATACTAATGTGGGAGGTTTTTATGGCCTCACTCTCAGTATTTAGCATGTATACTAATGTGGGAGGTTTTTATGGCCTCACTCTCAGTATTTAGCATGTATACTAATGTGGGAGGTTTTTATGGCCTCACTCTCAGTATTTAGCATGTATACTAATGTGGGAGGTTTTTATGGCCTCACTCTCAGTATTTAGCATGTATACTAATGTGGGAGGTTTTTATGGCCTCACTCTCAGTATTTAGCATGTATACTAATGTGGGAGGTTTTTATGGCCTCACTCTCAGTATTTAGCATGTATACTAATGTGGGAGGTTTTTATGGCCTCACTCTCAGTATTTAGCATGTATACTAATGTGGGAGGTTTTTATGGCCTCACTCTCAGTATTTAGCATGTATACTAATGTGGGAGGTTTTTATGGCCTCACTCTCAGTATTTAGCATGTATACTAATGTGGGAGGTTTTTATGGCCTCACTCTCAGTATTTAGCATGTATACTAATGTGGGAGGTTTTTATGGCCTCACTCTCAGTATTTAGCATGTATACTAATGTGGGAGGTTTTTATGGCCTCACTCTCAGTATTTAGCATGTATACTAATGTGGGAGGTTTTTATGGCCTCACTCTCAGTATTTAGCATGTATACTAATGTGGGAGGTTTTTATGGCCTCACTCTCAGTATTTAGCATGTATACTAATGTGGGAGGTTTTTATGGCCTCACTCTCAGTATTTAGCATGTATACTAATGTGGGAGGTTTTTATGGCCTCACTCTCAGTATTTAGCATGTATACTAATGTGGGAGGTTTTTATGGCCTCACTCTCAGTATTTAGCATGTATACTAATGTGGGAGGTTTTTATGGCCTCACTCTCAGTATTTAGCATGTATACTAATGTGGGAGGTTTTTATGGCCTCACTCTCAGTATTTAGCATGTATACTAATGTGGGAGGTTTTTATGGCCTCACTCTCAGTATTTAGCATGTATACTAATGTGGGAGGTTTTTATGGCCTCACTCTCAGTATTTAGCATGTATACTAATGTGGGAGGTTTTTATGGCCTCACTCTCAGTATTTAGCATGTATACTAATGTGGGAGGTTTTTATGGCCTCACTCTCAGTATTTAGCATGTATACTAATGTGGGAGGTTTTTATGGCCTCACTCTCAGTATTTAGCATGTATACTAATGTGGGAGGTTTTTATGGCCTCACTCTCAGTATTTAGCATGTATACTAATGTGGGAGGTTTTTATGGCCTCACTCTCAGTATTTAGCATGTATACTAATGTGGGAGGTTTTTATGGCCTCACTCTCAGTATTTAGCATGTATACTAATGTGGGAGGTTTTTATGGCCTCACTCTCAGTATTTAGCATGTATACTAATGTGGGAGGTTTTTATGGCCTCACTCTCAGTATTTAGCATGTATACTAATGTGGGAGGTTTTTATGGCCTCACTCTCAGTATTTAGCATGTATACTAATGTGGGAGGTTTTTATGGCCTCACTCTCAGTATTTAGCATGTATACTAATGTGGGAGGTTTTTATGGCCTCACTCTCAGTATTTAGCATGTATACTAATGTGGGAGGTTTTTATGGCCTCACTCTCAGTATTTAGCATGTATACTAATGTGGGAGGTTTTTATGGCCTCACTCTCAGTATTTAGCATGTATACTAATGTGGGAGGTTTTTATGGCCTCACTCTCAGTATTTAGCATGTATACTAATGTGGGAGGTTTTTATGGCCTCACTCTCAGTATTTAGCATGTATACTAATGTGGGAGGTTTTTATGGCCTCACTCTCAGTATTTAGCATGTATACTAATGTGGGAGGTTTTTATGGCCTCACTCTCAGTATTTAGCATGTATACTAATGTGGGAGGTTTTTATGGCCTCACTCTCAGTATTTAGCATGTATACTAATGTGGGAGGTTTTTATGGCCTCACTCTCAGTATTTAGCATGTATACTAATGTGGGAGGTTTTTATGGCCTCACTCTCAGTATTTAGCATGTATACTAATGTGGGAGGTTTTTATGGCCTCACTCTCAGTATTTAGCATGTATACTAATGTGGGAGGTTTTTATGGCCTCACTCTCAGTATTTAGCATGTATACTAATGTGGGAGGTTTTTATGGCCTCACTCTCAGTATTTAGCATGTATACTAATGTGGGAGGTTTTTATGGCCTCACTCTCAGTATTTAGCATGTATACTAATGTGGGAGGTTTTTATGGCCTCACTCTCAGTATTTAGCATGTATACTAATGTGGGAGGTTTTTATGGCCTCACTCTCAGTATTTAGCATGTATACTAATGTGGGAGGTTTTTATGGCCTCACTCTCAGTATTTAGCATGTATACTAATGTGGGAGGTTTTTATGGCCTCACTCTCAGTATTTAGCATGTATACTAATGTGGGAGGTTTTTATGGCCTCACTCTCAGTATTTAGCATGTATACTAATGTGGGAGGTTTTTATGGCCTCACTCTCAGTATTTAGCATGTATACTAATGTGGGAGGTTTTTATGGCCTCACTCTCAGTATTTAGCATGTATACTAATGTGGGAGGTTTTTATGGCCTCACTCTCAGTATTTAGCATGTATACTAATGTGGGAGGTTTTTATGGCCTCACTCTCAGTATTTAGCATGTATACTAATGTGGGAGGTTTTTATGGCCTCACTCTCAGTATTTAGCATGTATACTAATGTGGGAGGTTTTTATGGCCTCACTCTCAGTATTTAGCATGTATACTAATGTGGGAGGTTTTTATGGCCTCACTCTCAGTATTTAGCATGTATACTAATGTGGGAGGTTTTTATGGCCTCACTCTCAGTATTTAGCATGTATACTAATGTGGGAGGTTTTTATGGCCTCACTCTCAGTATTTAGCATGTATACTAATGTGGGAGGTTTTTATGGCCTCACTCTCAGTATTTAGCATGTATACTAATGTGGGAGGTTTTTATGGCCTCACTCTCAGTATTTAGCATGTATACTAATGTGGGAGGTTTTTATGGCCTCACTCTCAGTATTTAGCATGTATACTAATGTGGGAGGTTTTTATGGCCTCACTCTCAGTATTTAGCATGTATACTAATGTGGGAGGTTTTTATGGCCTCACTCTCAGTATTTAGCATGTATACTAATGTGGGAGGTTTTTATGGCCTCACTCTCAGTATTTAGCATGTATACTAATGTGGGAGGTTTTTATGGCCTCACTCTCAGTATTTAGCATGTATACTAATGTGGGAGGTTTTTATGGCCTCACTCTCAGTATTTAGCATGTATACTAATGTGGGAGGTTTTTATGGCCTCACTCTCAGTATTTAGCATGTATACTAATGTGGGAGGTTTTTATGGCCTCACTCTCAGTATTTAGCATGTATACTAATGTGGGAGGTTTTTATGGCCTCACTCTCAGTATTTAGCATGTATACTAATGTGGGAGGTTTTTATGGCCTCACTCTCAGTATTTAGCATGTATACTAATGTGGGAGGTTTTTATGGCCTCACTCTCAGTATTTAGCATGTATACTAATGTGGGAGGTTTTTATGGCCTCACTCTCAGTATTTAGCATGTATACTAATGTGGGAGGTTTTTATGGCCTCACTCTCAGTATTTAGCATGTATACTAATGTGGGAGGTTTTTATGGCCTCACTCTCAGTATTTAGCATGTATACTAATGTGGGAGGTTTTTATGGCCTCACTCTCAGTATTTAGCATGTATACTAATGTGGGAGGTTTTTATGGCCTCACTCTCAGTATTTAGCATGTATACTAATGTGGGAGGTTTTTATGGCCTCACTCTCAGTATTTAGCATGTATACTAATGTGGGAGGTTTTTATGGCCTCACTCTCAGTATTTAGCATGTATACTAATGTGGGAGGTTTTTATGGCCTCACTCTCAGTATTTAGCATGTATACTAATGTGGGAGGTTTTTATGGCCTCACTCTCAGTATTTAGCATGTATACTAATGTGGGAGGTTTTTATGGCCTCACTCTCAGTATTTAGCATGTATACTAATGTGGGAGGTTTTTATGGCCTCACTCTCAGTATTTAGCATGTATACTAATGTGGGAGGTTTTTATGGCCTCACTCTCAGTATTTAGCATGTATACTAATGTGGGAGGTTTTTATGGCCTCACTCTCAGTATTTAGCATGTATACTAATGTGGGAGGTTTTTATGGCCTCACTCTCAGTATTTAGCATGTATACTAATGTGGGAGGTTTTTATGGCCTCACTCTCAGTATTTAGCATGTATACTAATGTGGGAGGTTTTTATGGCCTCACTCTCAGTATTTAGCATGTATACTAATGTGGGAGGTTTTTATGGCCTCACTCTCAGTATTTAGCATGTATACTAATGTGGGAGGTTTTTATGGCCTCACTCTCAGTATTTAGCATGTATACTAATGTGGGAGGTTTTTATGGCCTCACTCTCAGTATTTAGCATGTATACTAATGTGGGAGGTTTTTATGGCCTCACTCTCAGTATTTAGCATGTATACTAATGTGGGAGGTTTTTATGGCCTCACTCTCAGTATTTAGCATGTATACTAATGTGGGAGGTTTTTATGGCCTCACTCTCAGTATTTAGCATGTATACTAATGTGGGAGGTTTTTATGGCCTCACTCTCAGTATTTAGCATGTATACTAATGTGGGAGGTTTTTATGGCCTCACTCTCAGTATTTAGCATGTATACTAATGTGGGAGGTTTTTATGGCCTCACTCTCAGTATTTAGCATGTATACTAATGTGGGAGGTTTTTATGGCCTCACTCTCAGTATTTAGCATGTATACTAATGTGGGAGGTTTTTATGGCCTCACTCTCAGTATTTAGCATGTATACTAATGTGGGAGGTTTTTATGGCCTCACTCTCAGTATTTAGCATGTATACTAATGTGGGAGGTTTTTATGGCCTCACTCTCAGTATTTAGCATGTATACTAATGTGGGAGGTTTTTATGGCCTCACTCTCAGTATTTAGCATGTATACTAATGTGGGAGGTTTTTATGGCCTCACTCTCAGTATTTAGCATGTATACTAATGTGGGAGGTTTTTATGGCCTCACTTTCAGTATTTAGCATGTATACTAATGTTGGAGGTTTTTATGGCCTTACTCTCCGTTCAACCAGTGAATTGTAATGGATTGGATGAAATAAAACATTTTGTATCTTCAAGAAAATATTTATCATTTTCCGGTATATGCAGAATTGTGCATCTTAGAATTTTGTACAAAAATCAATACCTGGTATTTTTATTAAAATGAAGAAACTTCTTCTAATAATGTACAGTAATCAAATCTTTCAAAATGATGCTCATCTTTGAACTTTGAAATTTGAATCATTACTCATCACCAGATAGGAGTGTTTAAAGTCCGCTGATTATACAACCCTACTTTAAATGACTTAGGTTTGTGACAAATGAACAGGTAGTTATCATTATACATGTATATAAAAAAAAACCATGACTGAACAAAATCTATGATAACAAGTACATATACAAGTTTAAAACACTTCTGTTCAATACAAGCCTAAAAGGTTAAGTGAAAACATTGAGCCGAAAATCAATGTCAATTGACTGCCATATATATAAAATGACATTTTAAAAAGTGTGCGATGTAAAAAAATAAAATTAAACAAACAACCATCCTTTTCCAGTGTACATCACTGAGCAATCAATCTCTGGGACTTACAATGACATTATATCACTCAACTCTTACAATCCAGATGGAGTATGAAATGGTCTGGGGTGGTGTTAAAGTGTCAGTGCTGTAATGCTGTTGTGAGCACGGTCCCACATCAAAACAGAACAATGTACATTTCCAGGTCACATGCATGCATACACACGTGGAGATATTAGCCAGGTGGCATATGGCTAATGGTAGTTAGTGCCTGATAAAGCAATTCCTACAAATTCCTCAAAACTTGTATTGATTGATATATATTGTATGGATTGTATGAACACTTTGAGCTCTCCAGACACAAAATTTCATTTATGGACAGACGGACAAACGTTCCAACATTCGATAGTTATGAATCAATGTCTATGTTTAGAACAAAAACAGGCTATAACAGTAGAAATCTATTGTTTTCCATTGTGTTAGGCCACTCCCCTTGACTCCTTATTACTGATTCTAGTATGAC